ATGATGGATGGATGGATGGATGGATGATGGATGGATGGATGGATGGATGATTGATGATGGATGGATGGATGATGGATGAAATTAGTTTGATCAGGTGGTGACCCATCTCAGCATGTTTCTTACTGCAGCTCTGTAGGAACCAAGCAGAAGATGTTGTGATGTTTCTCTTGAACTCTGCCTCTCTGCTCCCGTACCTCCTCCTCCTCCTCCTCTAACTTCCTCTTATTTTCTCTGAAGATCCACAGATCCTAAACTTCTGTTTGGATCATTCTATATTCTCCATCTCACTCAACAACTCCATAACTTTCATTTTCTGCAACACCAACATACTTGGTTATCCCCAGTTTGACCCCAGTTTGACCCCAGTTTGACCCCAGTCCACAGCTGGAGCCAGCTGTTTGCGGTCATCGTCTGATCCAATGGGAAGACTGATCTGATTGGACAGAAATAGAGGAAGAGATGTAATTAACCAGGAGCTAGCTGACGGTTTTAACAGCTGCTTCATGGAAATGTGTTTGAGCAGAGCAGCTTTATGGGAGCTAATTCAGTCTGTCGATCCTATCAGACGTGCACAAACTGCATGTTTCCGATGATGGATGATGCTGCTAACTGCTGCTGATTGTATCAACTGGATTAATACGAGCAGCAGGGAAGCAGCAGCAGGTGGAGAGACAATGGTCTGCACCATTAAGCTTAATGGAACACAGAAAGAAATGGAAAACACTATTGGGAAGAAAAAATATATATATGGAAAACACCATCCAATAAAATACACAGATTAGAAATTAAATACCCATAAGGAATCCAAAAATAAAGAGGACCTCTTTGAAGAAAAAAGGGAAACATCTCTGAAGTACGTGTAAATGTAGCACATAGCTTAGCTTCATCTATGAGCTGGAGGTTTACTTTATTTATAGCACGTTTTTTTTTTATGTGAACGTCTGCAGGTCAGAGTTCAGGAGACAATTGGCTTCACAGCTTAGGGAAAGAAACTGTTCCAGAGTCGACATGTTCTGGATTTAATGTTCTGTAATCTTTTTCCAGATGAAAACGGAGCAAACGATGTTCTGCCTTCATGTTTCGGTTCTGCAGCACACCGACTGCCTCTTTCCTGGACTTGTGAAGCATAAACCAAGTCCAGATCCAGTATCCCATAATCCCCTGTGCTTTTATAATGACAGCGTCAGTCCTCCCTCTCGTCTACCGTCCAGCTCCCCTGACAGACGGAGACACAGCTTCCTTCATTTGTGTTTCTGTAGAAGTTTGCTGATGTGCTTTGGGCTGCAAAAAAGCATCTGTTGCTTTTCTCACCATTTATCTGCAGACACAGAAGAGGACCTGAGCTAAAATACAGGAAAATCTGCCCAGTTAAAGAGCGTCCACCTCAGCTTCTGCAATAAAAAGATTAAACTTCTCCTCTACATGTTCTCCACATAGGTTATAGGTGTTTCAGTGCACAGTAGCATCAGGTGTTTGGAACAGTTAAGTGTCTTTATGACTGTAGATCCCTGATGCTGCGTTTGCACCCTGATGGAAGTGGAAGCTCAGAGCTTTAATTCAGTTAGACGTTAGCGGTGTCAGAGAAGAGAAGCGGCAGGTTAGTGAGGCCGGTTAATCAGCAGCAGACAGGCAGCAGAGGGAAGCTAATGCAGTTACCACCATCAGATGGCACGTCAGCGATCCCTGCAGAGAAACATGATCTATCAAGGCAAACAGGAAGCATCAGGAGCCAGCAGCAGGAGATCAGCCATCAGGAAGAAGCTGCAGACAGAAAAATCTGCTGCTGTTTGGCTGGACATAGATTTCTGTCACTCAGTCAGTCCTTATGTGTTTTTAGAGCTTCATATTTAAATGTCAAATCATCAAACATGTATA